TATATATATATATATATATATATATATATATATATATATATATATATATATATATATATATATATATATATATTGGATATATGCAAAGAATATTCTTTTCTATAGAATATAATTTTCATTATGAGAAGTCTTAAAACTATGGCGAATTTTCAGGAAAAATATTTATCGTTAAAATCTCATTCTTCGGCCATTTTAAGCTTACTGTCAATAGGGGGTAGTATTTTTAACTTCCAGTTTAATCAAATAAGATTAAAAAAATATGAACGAACGGAAAACAAAATATGCAGTACAAATTGTATTAAAATAGAGTAAACTGAGTAAAGAGAATTATTTTTTATCTGCTATGAATTACTTAATAAATGCATTAAAAAGAAAGTTTAAAATTTAGCCACTACAACTCCATATCTGAAAATCTATTGTTTGCATGTTAGGGCATCAAATGCAAAATCTTTGGACATAAATCATTTCGCTGACCCAAAAGGAATACGAAAATCTCCAAAAATAAGGTCATGAAAATCTTTATCATTAAAATGCAATGTTGTCGGTAATAAAAGCGATGCTACACCAAAGATGCTATCCAAATCCTGCTGCACAAATCGACAAAGCTGCAAATATGAAGTATATATGAAAAAAAAAAAAAAAAAAAAGGTAGAAACAAAAACAAGCAAAATGTAAAACCAAAACAAGTATCCTTCGAATGGTATAAGTAAAGCAATGATATTCACAGCTGTGAATAAATAGTAAATAGTGGAAATGAAAATTAATTAATATCAAAATGGCATGCAAATGCTAAAATGAAAAAAAAAGGTCGAAATAAAAACTACTAATAACAAAGAAAACCACTGAATAAATTGGGTTAATAAAACAACATGCAAAAATTAAGGTGAAAAAAAACGTGAAATTAAAAATTAATTAACATCGAAATAGCATGCAGAAATAAGGTGAATAAAAAAAAGTGGATATAAAAATCAAAATGGCATGCAAAACGATGATTAAAAAAAATGATTAAAAAAAAATAAGATGATTAAAAAAACATGGAAATAAAAGTTAAGTACTGTCAAAATAGCATGCAATAATTATGATGCAAAAACAACGTGAAAATAAAAGTTAATTAATATCAGAATGGCATGCAAAAACATGATGATTAAAAAACGTGGAAATGAAAATTAATGAATATTAAAACAGCATGCAAAAATTAAGATAATTAAAAAAGCGTAAAAATAAAAGTTGAGTAACATCA